TTTGGTTTTTTTTTCATTAAAAAAAAAAAAAAAAAAATGGTTGCAGCATATTGCTCAGTGTGCTTAAGGTTTACATTCCGACCTTCCTATGTCGAATATCAACTCTCGCTTGGGCAAACGCTTTGCCAAAGACTTAGGGCTCGGCACTTTCACATTAATATTAATGTACCCATAAGAGTTGGCCATGTAATTCGCAGTTGTGGGCTCGTTTATTAAGTTTAAAGAGTATATTAGTTATTTGTGAAGTAACTTATAGACTTTCCGTATACTTGAGGCTAGACACAGGCCATGATCCACATATGAGGCAAAGATATCTAAGTAAAGTTAGACTATTTGATCTCTTGTTAAATTTGTACTCTTTCTCAATACACAATATAATAATATAAATTTTATTGTTTAACCAACAAATGACATCAAGAACATGCACCGTCTCTTTCTTACAAGAGGACCGCTCGATGGCTTTATATAATATCTAGCTCGGGCCTATTTAGTGTGTATGGGAAAGTGGATTTCTCGGCACCTCAATCAATCCACCTTCGCTTAGCGGTTATTCCCGTCTCGAGTACGTGACTCAATCAATGCCTTGCACATTTAAGCGTAACAGTCACACTTCAATTGGAAGGATGTCTGCGCGTCGGGGAGGGGGCGATCCGGCTGCCTAAGTGGCCAATTGACCAGCAACAACAATAACAACATCTCAATCGGGCAGACAGTAAGTAAATGCTGCATTGTTGACATCTGTGGCATACAAATTCAAATACATTTTGTGCCGCTGGCTATTATGGAATTACATTGTTCGACGGGCCCGGCCAACGGCTCAAGAAACTGTGACATATGTGCAGTCAATAAATTTTTCCGCTTCTTCATGCTGACGGCACACAATGCGGGGCACAGGACCAAAAAGGACGAGCCGCAGCTATGCGCCGCTAATGGCCCCACAATGACTTGGCACCTTTCAGCCAGCTATGTATTTCGCTTCGTTACGCGAGTTAAGTGCGCGTATGTGTATATTCGTAGCACGGGTCTACGCACGGAGATCTTGAACTCCACTCTTTGTTGCACTAAATTTGATTGAATTGTTTTGCGCTTAGCGCATTTGCTTACCCCCGAAACTTGTCGATTTGCATTATTAATAGGCTACGCCCATGTCCCAGCCTTCTGTTCGTCGCCAACAGAGCTAAATGTCCAAAGCTAACGCTTATACTGTGCTACAAAATTGGTAAATACCATTTGATTTAGCGCTGTCATGCTTGTGGTTTTCCTCAATAGATACAATAGATCAGGTATAATACCTGAGCGTCACGAAAGAGCCAATGACTCATAGCCATAAGTTCCAATTGATTTCGATTGAAAATATTTATTATCTTTTAAATATACATATGATATATATACATGTGTACATATGTACATACATGTAAATGTATGCTTTTTTTTAAGATTCAATCAACCATTATGCGATTTTTTGATTATCTTCGCTAAGTAATTAATTAAGAATAAAATTGCTTTAAAAAGTTCTTTTTTTTCAGTTGAAGCTTATATTTCATATAGCGTAAACTTCTTAAATATAGCACTTAGAAAGTCAGCCCATGGAAGAGAGATCATTTTAAAATAATTTTAAATAACTTTGAAACCGATTCAACGTTCTAGATCATATATTTGGTCACACATGTATATGTTACTACAAAAACCAATATTTTCTAAATACATATATCAATCCATTGAGTTAAGAAATAATTGGTAAATACAGTCGGTAATTAGTGTCTTGATAGCAT